ATATGCACCCCCTCCCAAAAAAAAATATGCACCCAAAGGAGAGAGAGACCATCCACTCTTAAAAAAAAACAAAACAAAAACACCCAGAGCTTGAGACCGTGAACCTACCTCCGTGGACTTTCATGTCACTTGTTTTCCTCAAGAATCCTCGTGGGAAGGAACGCGCCAGGCCCTGAGGGGAAGTGTCAGTCACAAACATTGCCCACCTCCCCACTGCTGTCAACCCCGCTTTCCCAAACTGGGCTCCATGGAACACCAGTTCCAGGCAAAGGGCAGAGAAATACGAAAGGGTATAAACCAGACCCCAAAGCACAATACACATTAGCATTTTAAAGGCTAGAAAGGTTCCCAGCAAAAACCAAAACTTTTTTTTTCAGTATTGACTTCATTCAGATTTCATTAGTTTTCTTTTTTTTTAATTTTTTTAAAGATTTTTTTTTTTTTTTTTTTATTCATGAGAGACAGAGCGGGAGAGAAAGGCAGAGGGAGAAGCAGGCTCCCAAGGAGCAGGGAGCCCGATGCAGGACTCGATCCCAGGACCCTGAGATCATGACCTGAGCCGAAGGCAGACACTTAACCATCTGAGCCACCCAGGCGCCCCAGATTTCATTAGTTTTCACCAAGTGTCCTTTTTCTGCCCCAGGATCTCATCCAAGACCCCACCTTCCATGTAGCTGCCAAGTCTGCTCAGGCTCCTCCGGGCTGTGACAGTTTCCCAGGCTTTCCTGGCTTTCGCTGACCTTGACAGTCCCGAGGACCATCGGGATTGGTCTGATGATTTTCTTATGAACACACGAGGGCGATGGATTTGGGGAGCACGCCCACACAGGGGATGTGCCCTTCTCATCACAAGGGGATCGCCGTGAAGGTTGACAGGTGAACTTTTCCCCACCCGGCCCACCCACTCCTCCTCGGAAGTTGTCTTGCGGTGCCACCCACACTCAAGGAGGGAGGTTTACGCTGACTGCCCAGACAGGGAGCGTGTTTGGAAATCCCTCGGCCTGGGAGACTTTTCTCCCTATTTACTGATTTAGCCAATCATTCACTTGTATCAGGGTGGACTCACATTTATTTTATACTTGAGTTATAATAAATACATGATTTGTAGGGGGGGCTGCTCCTGGCTGGCTCGGCCAGTAGGGTGTGAGACTCTTGATCTCGGGGTTGTGTGTTCAAGCCCCACACTGGGTGTAGAGAGTAGTTTAAAAAATAAAATATTAATAAATAAATACTACATTATTTTGTTCCACTTTCGGCTGGAACTTGTTCGGCCGGCTCCTATGCTCCGTGACACGTCCAAACCAACTTAATTTTGATCTCCAAAGGAATACATCCTGTGAGTTTCTTAGTACTCTCTCTAGGCCAAGTTCAGATAAAAGTCGCCCAAAAGTGAAATTATAACAAGGAGAGGAATCTGACCCCTATATTCTCCTCACTTTCCCTGCCAGACGTATGGGCCAGGATCAGGGCCAACCCCACATTTTCTAGAGCAGGTGGTTGGCAGAGGTTAAAGGTTTCTTTTCTTTCTTTTTTTATTTTATTATTTCTTTCTTTCTTTATTTGTCAGAGAGAGAGAGAGAGGGAGTGCATGAGAAGCGGGAGCGGCAGAGGGAGAGGGAGAAGCAGGCTCCCCGCGAGCAGGGAGCCCGATGCAGGGCTCAATCCCAGGACCCTGGGATCATGACCTGAGCTGAAGGCAGATGTTTAACCATCTGAGCCACCCAGATGCCCCTTAAATACTTTTTTTAAAAAAAGGATTTATTTATTTATTTGGGGGGGAGCGAGAGGGAGAGAAGTAGACTCCCAGAGAGCATGGGATCCCGCGACCCTGAGATCATGACCTGAGCCAAAATCAAGAGTCAGACATTTGACTAACTGAGCCACCCAGGTGTCCCTCTTATATACTTTTTAATAAAAAGGTATTTTATGCATGTGGTTAAAAAACAACTATTAGGGGCGCCTGGGTGGCTCAGTCATCAAGCGTCTGCATTTGGCTCAGGTCATGATCCCGGGGTCCTGGGATCGAGCCCCGCATCAGGCTCCCTGCTCGGCGGGAAGCCTGCTTCTCCCTCTCCCACTCCCCCTGCTTGTGTTCCTGCTCTCGCTGTGTCTGTTAAATAAATAAATAAAATAAAATAAACTATTAAACAAAATACAATAAACACGAGGTTCCCCAGACCCCACCATGGGCCACCCTGTGAGGCCCCAGGACCTGCTGTGCGGATCCACACACAGGCTTCTTCCTACTCCCTTGTCCACAAACATTTACACCTGGAGAGGCAGGGATCTAACTCGTGAACTATTTGCACCCAAGATGTAAGGCATAGAACCTCCCCCCTCCCCGCCGGCCCAGGCTGCACCTGCTTGCCCCGTTCCCCAGCTCCAGGACAGAAGCTCAGGATTCCAGGGGAGGGTGCTGGGCTTGGTCCAAAAAGGCCTTCTTGCCACAAAGCTGGGAGAATGTTAGCCCATCCCCTCACGCTGCATGTTTGAAATTTTCCTAATGAAGAGCTTAGAAGTCGCCACCTCTGCCCTGAGAGCCACCAGATCTCTCCTTCAAGCGGGTCCTGTCTGTTAAGCTCTAACCCTGAGTGCACAGCCCACCCAGCATCTGCCCAGCTGCACACTCACACCCACATGCACACATGCACGTGCCCTGTACCCACATCACCTGGCCCCAAGACCGCCCCGCTCCCCCAGCCTCTGGTGACTCTGGTTTCCAGCTCCCAGCTCCACACCTCTGCGTCCCGCTGCCTGGCCTCCCCTGGGGTCTCTAACAGGTTCTTCCAACTTGACTTGTCCAAGGTCAGACGGCTGATCTTCCCCAGACCTGCCCACTACAGCCCTCCAGGGCCAACGCAGGGCCATTCCACGAATCTTGTTGCTCAAGCTAAAAAAAATCTTCACATCATCCCAATTCCCCTTCTTCCAAACTCCACATCCAGTTGATCAGCCACGTTGACTCCACCTTCCAGGGGAGCCCAGAATCCCACTGCTTCTCCCCACTTCCTCTACCCAGAGCAATGCGGTTAGAGCTTAGCTAGAACCATACTGTACCCCATCAGCACCCCACCTCCCTGTCCCCATCCCTCCTCTGCCCACCCACCCCTCCAGAGCTGGGGGTCCCACCACAAGGGCTGAGCCTCCTTGCCCACCACAGCCGGTCTGTTCCTCACTTCAAACCTGTCTTTACACTAAGGCCACCCTCCCACCTCATACGGCCGTTTCTCACAGGTGCACAGCACCCTGCCCACTGCATTTTTCTCCGTGGTCCTCAGCATGCTCCAGTGATCTCTGGGATCCACAGCCCCTTTCAAGGGACTCACTCCATCGCCTGGGCTTTTGGCTTCTCTGTCCACAGCTGTGTCCCCAAAGCCTGGCCCAGCACTGAGCATGAAGCTGATGCTCAATAGCTCTTTCCGGGATGCATGCGTGCATTCCACAGACCCCCTCACCCACTACATCCCAAGCCAAATGCATCCCCCACCCTGAGATGTGCGCCTGCGTTTGCAGCCTCCACCTCAGCTCCACCGTGCACTAAGACCCTCCTCCCTATCCCAAACCAGAAACCAGATTCCAGGTACCGACTGCCAGATGGGGCGAAGAGCCAATGTGGTAATTTGACATTTGTTACAAGTTGAACATCTGACCAATTTCCCTAACAAAGCTTTAACATTTTCCCTTTGTACGTAGATTGTTTGGGTGCTTTAAGAAAACACTGGATAATAAATAGCAACATTTTTTTTTTTTTTTTTAGATCATAAAGTGAAATGCCTGCCAACAGGGGAGGAAGAGGAAAAAGATGATGGGCCAATTCCTTCCCCAAACGGTCCACAGCCCCAGAGACCGGGGTGACTTCCTCTATTCTCCAGGCCCAAGACTCCTTAACCTTAGTTTCCAGCTCCCTGGGACCTGCCCCAGCCCTTTGTCATTCCAGCCCTGGAACCATGCCCAGGAAGAGTGGCCCTGGGGGGGGGTGGCGGGGGGACAAGCCAGCTCCCCAGCTGAATGGAGCTGCATCTGAAGGTGCCTACCTGGAATCCAGGAGCATCCAGGAGTGGGGGGCTGCAAATGGAAAGTGGAGGTGAAGTCCAGAAAGCCAGCTTCCAAGAGGGGAGCCTTGCCGAGAGACGCTGTTCTGCAGGAAGGAAGAACAGAGCACAAGCAAAAAGATCTTTTGACAAAGAGGATCTTATCAAGTCTACTCTCAAGATCTAGACAAAAGGGAGAAAAATATGGTGAGCTGTCTTCCCCTCTTCCCCCCCCACGGATGTCAGAATTCAGAATGGGTTTGCTCTAAGTTAACTGATCTCCGTACTTAAGTCAATTTTGCATTTCTGCTTTAAAGGAAAAACATGTTTAAAAAGTTCTCTCTTGGGGCACCTGGGTGGTTCAGTCAGTTAAGTGTATGCCTTTGGCTCAGGTCATGATCCTGGGGTCCTGGGAATTGAGCTCAGCGGGGAGTCTGCTTCTCCTTCTCCCTCTGCCCCTCCCCCCTGCTCCTGTACGCTCTAACAAAATCCATAAAAAAATGTTCTCAAAAAAAAAAAGTTCTCTCTTAGGGGCGCCCGGGGGGCTCAGTCAGTTAGGCGGCTGCCTTCAGCTCAGGTCATGATCCTAGGGTCCTGGGATCGAGCCCCGCATCAGTCTCCCTGCTCCTGGGGAGTCTGCTTCTCCCTCTCCTGCTCCCCCTGCTTGTGCGTGCGCTCTCTCTCTCTGTCAAATAAATAATAATTTTTTTTTAAAGATTTTATTTATTTGACAGAGAGA